GCAAAGGAAATCTGGACTTTGAATTGTTAATTATAAGTTTGAAATCGCTAATCCAATTAGCGTGCAAGCGTGGTGATTAATGCCAACCTTCTCCCTACGAGAAGAGCAATTTACTCAGCAGGGGCCACTGATAGGCAGATGATGTGATGTAATTTAAAACACTTGGTTCTATTCCTTGGTTAGCTTTGTACTACTGGTTACTAAGTAACTTTCCTACGTACAAATTACGTGGTTCAACTTAGCTAGAAGTTGTTTCTGCGTGTGTTTCAGGTGTTAATTGAAGAACTAATTAGTAAACGCGGTGCTTAGGACTGTAAAACTTTACAAAATTTAGTTGTATGTAGAAGTTAGAGGCTATCAGCAGACTACTCGCATATTTAGATTTCTGAAAGAGGTTCATATTCAGATGCAAGAACTTTTTTTTTTGTCAGGGGCAAATCATTAAATGAATACTGCCACCCAGAGTAAGGCGAGAAAGAGTGTCAGAGTCTTACTGACTAAAAACGCCCCGTTCCTTCTCCTGCTCTGGGCCGAGGCCACGGTGACTAGATGCAAGAGCTGAGCCGAACTATTTTTTACTATATGTTAGGTGGTTCCAGATTTTACCGTGGTTTTAATGGTTTATTCTCCGAAGTAATGGGCACAGGTTAAAACCATAGGAGAATCATGAGACGGCACAAATTGACACCAAATATAAGGTCTAACCGAAACCTAATCTTTTGAAAGCAATTTAACAAAAAAACAGAGTAAGCTAATAATTTTACAAATACATATAAAGTCAATTACCATTTACAATAAACCCATTCGAAGAGCTCTGATCATAGCCAAGAGAGCGTTAAATTCAATTTATCGTATTTCATGTTTCGCTTCAACGCTGTTTAACTTCCAGTCTTCCACTTAACATGCGAAACATTCGGATACGTGCACAGAATTTATTTTCATACCAAATTTCGTTGAGCTCTCCGAACGGCGTATAGAGTTACCAGTATTTTCCAACACTATTCTCTATGACGTGGCAATCAGGTGTGGATTTGACAGGTGGTTTTGGCGCGCTTGTCAAATGTGTCTCCCTTTTTTATTTGAAAATGGAATGCAGTATTTATGTTTTGTGTTTTTTTTTTGCTGCGCGATTATTCGTTTTTTATTTTCAATAATATACTTATTTAGACAGGTTTCTGCTTACTTAGGTATTTGTTTTAATTATTTATCAGTGATGACCCTATACTTATTTTTTGGATCATTTTTCGTTTAACAATTGTAGAAACGTAACGTTCAAGAATTTCAAGGTTAGTAGAAAACATACATCGAAAGGTAAAGAAATAATAAAAAAAACGTAATAAAAGTTTGCTACTAATTTATGTACCGCTATAAACTAATCGTAAATCAATATGGGTCAAATCGGACTAAAGCTGAATAAAATAACATTCTAAGCCTCAAGATATGTTGTCGAAATGGTAAAAATATATCGATGTATCGCTTAGCTTCTTGAGTTATGAAAATTGCTTATATCCCTGTGACCAAAAAGGATTTTCTTTCTAATACTTTCACGTTGGAATTTCTTATATTATGAAATAGTTTTGTGGTAAAACGCTTCTATTTTTAAAAGGAATCTGTCCTACAATAGAAGGTCATACCCAATTATTATGCGCGTCAGCTCTATATAAAGTTTAAAGTACAATTGCCAAGGGTTTCTTTGTTTCTCCACACCTTAATAGTCTCAGTAACAAAATTAACTGAAATAACGTGTCCTTTTAACTTGATGAAAGCACCTGTTTCACCTTCTGAAGGTCAAATTTTATAAGTACCGTTATAAAAATCTCTGTATCTAAGTAATGTGCGTTTTTTACGAGATTGTTTCTGGTTTATGTCGTCTTTTCATCTATAGATGTACATAATTATTTTGTTGTACGAAACTTCAAACCTTATATCGAGGCGATAAAACGCCTTTTTCATTGTCATAAAAGTAAGTTCTTCCTAGACAGACCTTTACAAGTTTATGTTTGCTCGTAACTGGAGATAATAATGATCGTTTTTATTGGCTGTTTTTGAGTACTATCGTTTGATTGGAAGTGATATTTTTGCCAAGTATCATAATGGATTCTTCTGGAGCCCTCAAGGGTCAGGTCTATCAAAGAACGATTTGGGTTTCGTGGTCCAATTCTTGTATGTTATTTCAAAGGCTCAAGGTCGTAAATTGTCCTCGATAAATAGTAATGGGCTCATCCTTTGGTCCTAAACCAACAAGAACCGGCGGTACTGTTAGCCTATTAAGAGAGAGCAAAGTGGGTTCTGCGTCGGCCCTAAATCCTTTAGAGATAGCGAGTCAGTTGTCGTAATCTCCTTCAAATCACACTTGAGTAAATCGTACATTTCAGCCACACACTAAAATATTTTCGATATCAATATTTTGGAGCGACCACGCCTTTATCCAACCTCTTCATAAGGTTTCAAGCCCCTTCGGACATATATGTGTTTTTGTTTGATAAAAATCAGTCGTCTCATACTTTATTTTATTGAAAATAGCTACTTCCTCCCGAATCAACTAAGAAAAGCTTACTAGTTTCAAGTGACAAGCTCATATGGCTTCATCGTCATCAGCCTATAAGTGCCTACTGCTGAGCAAAGGTCTCTTCTCACATGGAGAAGGTTTGAGCATTAATCACTACGCTTGCTCAATGCGGGTTGGCGATTTCAAACTTATAATTAGAAATTATAAGTCCAGGTTTCCTCACGATGTTTTCCTTCACCGTTTGTCAGTGGTGTCTAAATAATTATAGAAAGTGCATATAACTCGGAAAGAGTCACATTGGTATTTGCCAGGTTTCGAACCTGCACCCTTATGCATGAGAGGCGGGCGCATTAACCTCCGGGCCACCACGACATTACATGGCTTCATCTAGATTTTTTTATATAATTTTGACATGTAAAAGTGCTGTTTTATGGCCTATTTGCTAAAATAAATTTACTTCATTGTTTCACCATGCACGCTACTCACGAATAGGAGACCCACTATGACTTGTCCTCCTTTCTGAAAGTATAGTCGATTAATCGAAGTCTGATCTTAATAGTACAACCATGGAGCTACTTAGGGGCAAATAGGACATTGATGATTTTTTCAAGTGTAATTTTCATCTGACTGACTGTAAATTATATCTTGTAAGTATCCAAATCTTTACTATAAAATCTTGTAATGTCTTGTATACCAATCTTTACCCTCCCCACGACACAACTAAGAAAGCTAAAGACAAGATGTCAAAAACCAAAAAGGATATTGATCACGCATTGTTTTCTAGCCATCTTTATTAATGGCCGTCTCCCGAGTTCCAGTACGCCCCTACGAGCACTAAAAGCTTACATTTTTCTCTCAAACATTCCTTTGATTTTTTCGTCGCAAAGGAAAATAAAATATTACCATTATTTCCGAAGTACTTTAGGAATATGTGACAGGATTTATGTTCGCGGCCCTTGTTCGTTTACTAGCTACAGAATAATATATTACTTGTACTTAGGATTCAGGGTAACGACGGTTGACGGGTGTTTTTACCTACAAAATCCATTTCTTTGTCTAAAATTCCGATACCGCGTACTGCCCGACATTTATTTTGTAAATTGCTGTTTTATCTGCTATGTGTACTAACAATTTGGGAATATTTTTCAATGTGAGAATTTTATTTAATATATTTAAACCAAGAGGAGTTTATATGTTTTTGAAGTTGCTTTTTTCGCTATTATTTGATTAGGGCATATACATACATAAGTTTGTTTTCAAAAGTTTTCCATGAGGGTTCATGTTGAACGATTACCTTCCATGCATCCAATGGACAGCCAGCGGTACGCCTGCCCAGATAGTATGTAGCTAACTACACAACGCAATTAAACCCTGTCAACATAGTGAAATAAAATTGTAATTAAATCTTATGGCGTATCCGCTCTGGCGATATTCAGAATTTTATTTCACCTGTACTCACTTCGGACGTTGACGTTGTCGATTGAATAAAAAAAAATACAAAAACCAATTCTTGTACATGTTCTATTAGATAATGTTGTAATGATATAAATACTTCAAATATCTTTGTTTTAAATACAGGTTGGTAGTAAAATTACTGAATATTTCTGAATAAACTTGATACAAGTTACAGCGTAGCTGTTGTACTTCATAAGGAATGTAAAGAGTTCGTTTTATAACAAAAACGAGGCCAGTCCTCTAGAGGATTTTTTCTTGTTACTCTTATTAATAATTCGCTTTTGCCCGCGGCTTTTTATTAAATATCCGATAACCTTATTGGACCCTTTGACTTTTTTGGGGCAAAAACTATGGATACCCAAAGTACCTACTGTCTTTTGGGGTGGTTTGACGAGATCCAACTCTTTGAGTGATCAGTTTTTATAATTTGTATCAACATCATGCATTTTTATTATATATATTTTTTATTATATATATATAAAAAAAAAACACTACTCGCGCTCATAAGCTTTCAACGAACAATAACACTTTTATATCGAAAAAGAAAAATATTGACGTCTATTGAATTTCTCTTCTTTTATCTACCAAGTTTTAATTTACATACCTTTGTTGAAAAGACATTTGTCTATCCCAGGTACTACCTTTTTAAAGACCTTATTAAACAGGAGTATGGCACTAAGAATCGTCACGCTAGGACATTTTTATACATACTCATATATCTACTTCGGTGGAGCGAGAAGTGTCAGATTCAACTGATTAAAAACTGTCCCGTTCCATCGCCTGCTTTGAACTAGCTTAAACAAACGCAGTACCTCATCCGCAACCCTCGCTGGATGTCGACCCGAGTGTGTCCCATCTGTGTTGGTATGGTAACTCTTAGGGGCGCGCGCGTACCGCGATGCTCTGGTCTGGTTCTGGATTAGCGGCGACCTTCCTTTGTTTATTGTCCGCACACGACACTTTAGGGCTTTGTTTATTTTTTACTACAACAGTTCTTTTAAACATCTTGAGATTTTTAACCTTCTCTTGTCCACAGGCACTTGTGGATCCGCATAGCATTATTCGAGCGTCAACTAGCGAAGATCATTGAGCATCTGGTTAATAACGCTAACCGGTACTACGAAAGGGACGCTCTAGTAGCCGATCCAGATTACGGGAGCATTCTTAGTTCCTTGCTAGTTGGACCTTGTGCCCTGGAGTACTCCAAGGCTAAAGCACCAGCTTGTTTCTGGACGGATCCTCCTGCAGACGAGCTCGTGAGTACCAACAAAGTTTTATTATGATATCACGGCCCTGTTGGTGGTTATAAGGAAATATTTAGATTTGCTCAAGTTCTTATTACGTTTTTATCTAAATAACAGGTGCAAAGACACAGGATGTCAGCAGGTACCACGACGCCACCGTCTGTTCGCAGACCGATCCTCAATTTCAAGAGGAGCTTAAACGCCTCATCTGACGATGGGGCCTCCAGCAATACGGGTAAACTTTCCAACTTATAATACAAAAATCCTTCAACAACTTTACTCCAAGAAAACTTTGTTGCATTAACTAATGTTTGTTGTTCCAAGTTTCTCCTGCAAAACACCTCGCTACAGTTTCAAATCTGCTTTTTCTTTTAACAAAAATTGTTATGGAAACTTGAACTTTAGGTACAGGCAAGGCAGCGGGATCGAGTGCCAAAGATTACGTTGAAAGTTTACACCAGAATTCTACAGCAACGCTTTTATACGGAAAAAACAATGTCAGAGTTCAGCCGGTGAGTGCAAAACATTTTTTCTTCAGATTTATTTACTCCTGTTTACGACGTGTGTTGAGTGTTATTAAATTTGGGAAATAGATTGGATCCCCACTGTTCCTTTGGGACCGGACCAATAATACGAACGAGCATTTGAAATTGCGATCGTATGGTCTTGAGTTTTGGGCAGTTTATTCAATCTACGCGCTATTGTGAGGCATCGTTTTGGTCTGCGATTTTTTGGAGCACAATCTTACTATCAGAATGATGTTATTGTATTGTTGACCCATTTTTGGTCAAGTTACTGGCTTTATAGCGACACAAGTTTACTTACAAAGCCCGTTTGTAATTCAAGTGAAAAATGTCTGGTACAAAGTGGTTCTAAGTTTGTTTTATTTCATAGCTAAAATGTCTAGACTTCTGAGCCCAGTATTTGTCATTTTAATAATTCGGCATTATTTTACAGCTGGGCTGTCCCTGATAAATGTCTAAAACTTTAAATTAATTTACTTGGACATTAATATAAATTGAAATATTGATAAAAATTTCTCAAAGCGAAAAATGACTTTGAGAACTTTTGAAATTTTCTTTTGTGAACTTTTCTTGGATTGGGAATTATTTGTTGTTGAAGAATTTGGGTTAGGTTTTGAATGTATTTGTTATTTTAGAAAGACGTTGAGGAGCCAATGCCTGGGTATTTGAGTCTCCATCAAACAGCGGCGGGTCTTGTGATAAAATGGACGCCAAACCAGCTAATGAACGGATACGCCGAAAGTGAAGGAATTGACAAGAGGTACATTTTTGTATTGGATTAAATATAAAATTAGAAGTACTTAATACCTTAGTGAGGTAAATAGATCTTTCTTAGTATTTTTAGTACAAAACAATTGACATAATGTTCCCTTTTCCCTACGAAAATACAATAAAAAATTGTATTCTATAAGATTTATTAGATTCAGATTAACGACCACCATTTTCTTTGCTTCTTGTTCCTTCACTACGCTTTCTCCGAAGACAATAATTGAACACGACTGATTAAGCAACCTATGTGTAGTTAAATTCATGCCTTCACTGCAAAATAAACTTTCAAGCAGGTGTATTTACGTTACAAAGTTATGTGTGCATAAAGTAAAAGTTTATTGTATCTGGCTTTATTAGTATTACATGCTTACAAGTACTTACTCAACTTTATTTGGACTTACAATGTATGAAGCGTTCGTTTTTAAGTAGGTACCAAAGTATTTATATTTTATCGACGCTAGAAACACTTTGGAGTTGTAAGTTCTTTTAAACTCATGTTTATGCAGTGAGAATAAAGTTTGTTTTTGAATATTGTACAGAGGAAAATTATGTTGATTTATGACCTTCTTCACTTAAAACCTATTTTTCGGCGCTGTTCTATATAAATTAGTTTTTAAGGGCATTGTTATACAAACGCTTGTGCCTCGTATAAATTTGGATTCGCTTATTTTTGTGTTGTCATGTCTCCTTTAGTAAATTATTTGTTCAATATTTATGTAAGGCTTGAACTTGGTTGCTAATTGTTGATTGGAATATTGGTACAAATCATATGATATGGGCATTATTGACAAACAGAGACTCGCCGCTAACAGCTGACTGAGGAACCAGTCATTTTGTTATAGTAATAAAAATAAAACAAATGACTATAGAAAAAAAATCTTAAGAAATTTTGTTTGTTATCATAAAATAACATTACGTGTTTAAAATATCCTAAGAAAATAAGTCCCTAACTACCAGTCACCTTATATACATGCTAGCTATACCCGCGACTTTATTCGCGTGGAATTGTGACTTGCTGCGGATTTTTGGTTTAAAAACTATCCTATGTCCTTTCTCGAGTTCCAAACTATGTCTGTACCAAAGTCCACACAAATAGGTTCAGTATTTAGGCGTAAAGAAAATACAGACAGCGTTACTATCGCATTTATAATTTAGTTTGGATATGTGTGGGAATAAGGCTGTTTATAATCTGTTTCTTATTCAAGATTTATAAACGTTACTAATTCTACTCTATACAAATGATTTGTACCAATACTTTCAAATTTCTTTTGCTTGTTTATTATTCTGTTGCCATGTATGTAGTGTTTGTGTGTAGTGGTCTTCGTTATCACCTAGTGCATGCATCCGAGTGCCAACACACCTGTGTTCTGTGCAGCTTGGTTCCCACCTGCACAGTTTACCGACGTCGCTGTGCAGGACCTCTGTGCATTGATTGGTACGTATTTGTGTTGCTTGACATTTTTTATGTTTGTTGGATCAAAAATCATCAAATGTCACAATAACTCTGAGTGAGGTTATAGAGAATGTCAAGTCAGACTCTTATTGGCTTAAAACCAGCCTGTAAAGAGTCCTAAACCAAGCTGGGGCTTTGGTATCAATATGGCAAATCATTAGCTACCACAGCAAGTATTGTTTGACCTTGAATTTTAAACTAGGACTTTCATAATGCAGGTTAACAGTAAAGCTTCTAACATGCAATATTTTTCTGTTTTCAATTCAGTTTGCGTGATCAAATGAAGGTCGCGTTTTACTCAATGCTCTGAATTGAATGGAACATAATAGCACTACGTACTTCTGTTCTTGAAGGAGGCAGATGGTGAACGAGATGCGTATTGATCAAAAAATTGTACATTTAACATGTAATATAGGCTAAGGTTTTTGGCCGTTATCATGCCAGGTGGTTAGCAAAGATGCGACTTTTGAAGGAGCACGCCTATTCCTAAACAACCAATTTTCTCGGGCTTTGAAGACTCTCAGGTTATGTGATGCTTCGGGGAACACAGACTCCGTCAAAAATTTCATAACATAGCACACTTCAGAAGTCTTAAATTGACCAACTAATTGTAATAAAGTTTTTGGCGATTCGTCCTGTGTATGATTAATACTGCTATAAAACAGTAATAGATTTGATCTTACTAAATACGCAAAGAAAATAGTAAGACAAACAGCGTATAAGCATTATCTAAGTGACATTTTATGAGTAGACAACTTCATATATGGAGTTGTAGTAGTAGGCTATCTCAGTATTGTCAAGAAAATATTTTGGTCTTGTCTCACAAATATTCACAATGAGCAAGATATAAAAACATCGTCACGTTCGGTTGACGGGCGTAAAATATGAACGAGAAGATAGCGAGATGTAGTTCAAAATGTCTAACGTAATGGGCTGATGTGTGATCATGATAAGAAGGCTAATAAAAGTCGCATTTAAGTATGATGTTTTTTGGCAGTGCCTCCTCTATAAGGAGGAGCAAAAATAACAAATGTTGCTTATATAATAATTTCATTTTACTTTCTCCGTGTGATAAGTGACATTTGCTCAGCTGAAGACACATATAGGCTGCACAGATGAGATGAGAACTGTCATGAATAGGAACCATTCATCACAGCTTTTACTATCAATCAAAGAAAAAAGGTCTATTTAGGATGTTACTAAAGCTTAATAACCCTAGGGAGCTTAAGCGGAAAGATGAATTTGGCTGAATGATTGACAGAATTTATTGAAACTCCCAATTAATACAAATTGAAGGAACCTTAATTCAAAGCAATCCAATGCTTCATTCGACCTGCCGAGTTTAGCCAGCGTCTTTGAGACGAGAGACTTAATATTGTGAATACAGTACAAATGACGGAAAAAGGAGTCTTTATTTCGTTAGTTTATGTCACTTTCACTCATAGTTCCAAAGTTTTATGGATTTATCAATCCAAAGTCCTACCTATGACATAGATATCAATTCAATGTACTACGTCAGACGTAGTTTGGCCTTGTGCCGACGTTTTGATTACACTAACTTTCTTTTAATATATTACTGTAACTGATATCATCAGTAAATATTTTCGAGTATTGTTACATCAATAATTCCTTTGTCGGATACCTAATTTATTTCAGTTTCTTTGTCCTCAAGAGATGGGATACACTATTTACAATCCAATTACTTGTAAGAAAGGACGGGGATTTATTTTACTTGTTCTTGGAATATCTTTGTTTTCCTCATTAATAATTGATTGGTTAGTTCAAGGCCAAGGTCTGACCTGACCTGTTTCCCAAGCAGAGTATTATGAAGAAAATTGATTCGATTTAGTTAAATGGAAATTTTTGGCAGAATCCATTTTCCGATAATGGAAAGATTAAGTAAAGGTTGTTCGACACAATAAAGATATTTTAGTACAGTCTAGAATTAAGCCCGGTGTTACTTGGGTACAAATTACTACCAGATTTTGTGTTCCCAGGCTGTAACTTGGATGTCTTCAAGTTACCGTGATTAGTTTACTTGTGGATAGATGTACCTCATTGTAGCTCGCATCATTGCTACCAGGCTAGTGACCAAAAGCCAGTCAAATGTAATAAAAAATAATTTAACAAACATTTTTACTTTTTTGGAAAACGGAATGTTTCCTGTTTCAAGCCTATTGCTAAAGTCTTTCTTTTATTTTGCAGCGTATATTGGGCGATGTCCCTACAAGTATGTGTTTGGGAAGTGGTATACGTTCACGTGCATCGGTCCCAGGCCAGCGATGCTCTCATACTAGTCGGTCAGGATGGAGTGCAGCGACCGCCCATACATTTTCCTAAAGGTAAGCAAAAAGTGTTGCAATTTTTGCAGTATTGTATGCTTATTGTTTGAATTTGTTACAGCAATTAGAGCAAGAGGTAATCGGAACTCAAACGTGACGCCCTAATTCGTTTGGATTTGCAATAGACTGTAATTTTTTTTGTTTAGATGGGCCGGCTACCTTGTGTTCAGATCACCATAAGTAGGCAGGGAAGCAATCGGTGCCGCCCATTGGACATTCGCAATATCAAAGAATTACTAATGCGTTGTTGATCTTTTTGGATAAGGGATTTGAAAAGGGAAGGTTTGGGCCACACCCACACAGTACAACAAAGCGTAAGAGTTATCTTAAGCCGGTTATCTGTGAGGCCAAGGTAGGCCTGGCCCAAATCTTCCCTTCTCCCCTTATCTCAAATCTCTAATCCCTCATTCCAGTTGAACTGACCCGTTCGTACCGAAGGTGGTGCATCATTTATTCGCTTCGGAATGGATCGGTTTCTTTACAGAGCAGTATTTTTCGTTCAATTATGAAGTCAAATTATTTTTCAATATCATTTACAGCAAATTTGTACGTAATGGGAATTACTAGTCAACTGTCCAAAATAATTTTGTCCATTGTCCATTTCAATTCTGTAAAATGTATAATGACGTGTCATTTTGACAATTTTGCCTCCAATTTCAATGCAACCGCAAATGACGTCACGTGCACTCATTTTCCCTCGTCACAAAATGTGGTTTAACAACTCACAGATTGAAACAAATTTTGTCGTAATTGTCATTTATCGGGATATGCTATTTTTGTTTTAAACAGAATAAATGTTTTTATTTGAATATTAGGTATTCTATTCAATAGAGAGACCATACAAGGGAGTGTCAACACCTTAATCCATTGGATAACCAAATTGATCCTTTCCTTTAAAAATCTAATCTAACCTAGGGATTGGAACAGTTTGCCGGCTGCAGTCTTTCCGTCCGAATACAATTTAGGTGTCTTCAAGGCTAGAGTGAATAGGCTCTTAATAAACTAGTGCACCTTACCATCAACGATTGCATCACTGCTTACCATCAGGTGGGATCGCAGTCAAGCACTAGTTTATTGCAAGTAAAAAAAAAAAAACATTATCCCAAAATCCCTGCTTAAAAAGATATAACTTCAATATCAATCAAAATTACTACGAAATTGAAAAGTTGCGTATAATTTAAGAGCATTGGGGGTACAACAAAAAGTTTTTGAATCAATTGTACGCATTGTTTTCAACATAATAATTAATGGCGAGCGCCGGCTGAGGCGGGTAAAACTTTTGCTAATTGTAATGCGCATTTTCAAGGTCAAGAGTGATTTATTAGTAAATTGGATCAATCGGAAACAGAACCATTTGTTGATGGCAGAAAAAGGTCCCAAATGCAAAAAGTTTGCGAAGTTTTAAGTAGGTTCAAAACCAATTTTGCTTGTAAAAAGTAGAATGGTGTTTTTATACAAAACTGCGGCGTTAAGAGCCATATCCATATTTAACATGCTCAACAGGCTATTTTTATATAAGCTGAGCAATTATTGCAAAAGTTACAAAATTTTAATATCAATGTGAATACATACTTACATTTATAGATAGGAATATATTTAAGTTACATTTTGTAATCAAAGTTCCAAGTTTACTTCTTATTGAACCTAAGTACTCAATTAACCTTTCTCTACATAACTCAAAGGTCGACTGGTGAGAATGACTTTGGTATAAAGTCTACCTATGTAATGTAATGTTGCATAAATATTCAATAAATCATTGATAACGGCAACTTGCTTAGTAAAGAGATCAAAAAATCCTTTTAGTCCTAGAATGGCAAAGAAGTAAATTTAGGAACAAAATAAAACCGTTTATATCCATAATTCTAAAATTTCATATATCACGTGATTTCGTAATTTAAACACCGTTGACATTGACAAGGGTTATTCTGTCTTAGGAGGACATTTGCTATCTTTTTTGAGCAACCTTGAAACAGGGCTGCTACCACATGGTCAACTGGATCCACCGCTCTGGTCACAAAGAGGTACAGGGAAGGTATGGTCACTACTTCTTTTATATTTTCTCTTATTTATTTATAATAGTAACCTAAAGTTACCATAACAGATTGTTTTTCTTTGATGTCAATTATGTTTAGAAAAAAGTCAAGTCAACAAATAAAATTTTCGGACCATTACTTTGGACGTATACACGAAGACAGGTATATATCAGGAACCAGAGTCTTCGTTCCCTTCGTGTCTTTATGTATGTCGTTTATGTATTCATTAATTCATTCATTGTATGATTGTGAAAGAGCCACAACATCAGAGAAAATTCAAAAGTAAAGCATCCATTTTTTAAATAAAACAATGAGGTTAGCTGAGAAATAATTGGAGTTTTTAAGGGAGCAAGCGTTTGGCCACTATCACTCCTAGTGGTGTGCGATAATGCGACCTATGATAGAGCACACCATCTCATAAGCAACCAACTCAAACGGGCCTTGAAGACACCCAGTCTACCCTTCGGGTAACACAGACACCTGCAAGGATTTCCACTCCTTAGAGATTCTGACAATAAAACTGGAGGTGACCCGTTCGCTATTTATACTTCTGTCCACACCTTTGGACATATTATAACGTTTTACTTATTATATTATTAATGGATTGTACTACCTACAGGTGTTTGGCCGCGGTAAAGCAAGACGACGACCCTTACCAAGTTTATGTGAGAGTGGAGAAACAGAAGAACCTGAGTGGGAGGAAACAGCTGGGGATTACGTCTTCAGAATTGTCAATAACGCCATTGCTGATAGAGAAGGTATTATTTTGTGTAATAACTATCGTGAATTTTTCTTCATAGCTTGGATCGGCCAACGAGCGTACTAGTTATCCGATGTTTAGCAATCGGCGGTGCCCATACTACAAGTATTTTGTTGGTCACTTATGGGTTTTTAGGTATTAAGGATAGGGGGGATTTGAGGACTGAAGGTTAGAGGGGGGAGGGAGGTTTAGGCATTCGGTAACCTTACTTTCACGGCGAAAGACAACGTAGGTATTGCTTCACGTTAGTTTTCTATGTTGCCGTGGTATCATTCTGTTCGAGCCAGCCCATTCGTACCGAAGTATTGCTCTGCCACATTTAACATGGCTCTCCAATGCTAAAAAAGTGACTAAATTAATTTATCTATATACTTATATATATTTTATACATTTATATATTTTATATATAATACTATAAAGCTGTAAAGATTGTTTGTTTGTTTGTTTGAACGCGCTAATCTCCGGATCTACTGGTTCGAATTGAAACATTATTTTTATGTTTGTTAGTCCATTATTTGAGGAAGGCTATAAAACAGCGCAGCATGCATAAAGCAGCGGTTGGAACCGAGAGTAGCTAGTTGAAAATATCGGCTACTCATCTTTACTCACATGGACTCAGTAATAACTTCACTTGAGTGATGCATGGGCATGGGCCTATGCTCACGAAAAATCCGCTGTCACGATGAAACTAGTAGAGGTTTTCTTCAGCTACTTCACGTGGGTAATCCGTTTATTTGATAAATTGAGACGGTTATTACCTTATAAAAATCCTATTCAATTTTAATTTGAAAATATTAAAAAAGTCTTCGTTTATAATAGACTTTCTAACATAAACGAGTACATTAACATGATGACCTATATTCGATATAGTAATAGGGTCTTTGGGGATTGGCTATATGTAGGATTTTATAGTGACTGTTTTTTCATCGCCATTATTAATTATGTTTTAATTATTCCCAGCAATGCGACATTCGCTACTAGAACGCGCAGTCCAGTCACCTCCTCGCACGCCGCGCCGTCCTCTGGCTTCCACATCTACTACATCGTCTGACTCCTCAACCATGTCTGTCGACTGTCCACCTTCAGCCGGTATCAATGGACATCCACCACTGACGCCTATACCACATCAACCTGTAGAACAGGTAAGTACCTAAAATGAAAAGAAAAAGTGTACTTTTCGAATATCCTGTTCTTATAAGAACTGAATCAACGTTACGTTTTTTGTTTCAAAGAAATGTCTTTGTATTCATTATCTTTGCAAGGAATCTAAAAATTATATTGCGATATCTATAATGTATAAGGAGTTAATGTTCTATTATACAAAGACCGCAAGCGATGGTTGTGATAAGCAAATATTTTGGCGCCCATCATGGGACTCGGAGTCAGCTGAGCCATCTATACTAATATTATAAAGAGGTAAAATTTGTAAGTTTGTATGTAGGAGGTAATCTTTGGAATCGCTGGTCGGATTACCAAAATTATTTTACTGATAGATAGCTACAATGTTCCTGAATGCTATTAAATATCACGCTACGATTAAATGGAGCCGAACAGCGGGTAAAACCGCGCGAGAGTAGCTAGTCAGGAATATTTTTGTTCAAAGTTTTCCTCTCCCGTTAAGATAAAACTTTGTTTTCTTTTGCAGGCTGCTTCAATCGAGTTGGTGTGCAGTACAATGCGTCGTCAGATAATTTCACGGGCGTTCTACGGCTGGCTTGCATACTGCCGCCATTTGTCTACAGTTAGGACGCATCTCAGTGGGCTTGTGCATCCAATCATCGTTCCGAGAGGTATGACTCCACGAAGTTATTTTAATTGTATCATTTGCGTTTTTTGCAACAGTATCTAGTAATCTAAATTACAGGTTTTTTGTTTTCAATTGTGGTTATTAGAGTAAGACAAAAGGTGCTAGAACGCCGGCGTTCGCTTGGGGTTTAATTAATTAATACTCCTTTGTGTGAATGTTACAGAGAATGCTGAAGGTGGTCTCACAGATGAGCGATGGCTTGCAATGACTGATGAGTCTGGAGCAGTACACGATAAGGATGAAGTGTACCGGCTGGTGTACTATGGAGGAGTTCAACATGACATCCGGCGACATGTGTGGCCTTATTTACTTGGATATTACGAGTAAGTTTTGGAGAAGATAAATATTTGGTTATATTTTAACTAAGAATGCTGATGCTTTATTTTATGCATATAAGAAGGCCATGACATGTCTTTAAGGCAGTGAATAGGCTCTTAATAAACAAGTGCGATTTACCATCAACCATTGCATCACTGCTTACCATCTAGTGGGATTGCAGTCAAGCACTAGTGTTTATGAATAAATAAAAATTTAACATCTCGTTATTAGTTTACTATTCTTACGATAATAAACTAACAGCTTGCTTATCTGTACATAGCATGGCGTATGAATAGGAGTCCATTTTCTTTGCTTTGATTGTACTTTATTAAAATCAGAGATAGTCTGTTCCACAACTGATAAAAAATTGGTGCACTTGACTTCTCATTTCAAAAAGATACTCCAGTTTATGATTCAATGGCGTTTCGTAGATTCGGCTCTACGGCAGAAGAGCGAGCTGAACAAGACGCGGCGTGTCGTCGGCAATACGAAACAACGATGTCGGAGTGGTTGTGCGTGGAAGCTATTGTGCGACAACGGGACCGTGAGGCCACGGCCGCGTCCATCGCGAGACTGACTGAAGCATCTGGCAAATTGAAGCCTTCTGACAATAATGATACCAGCGAAGTAAGTATTAGTAATTCGCTTTCTTATTGTGATAGAGATGATAAGAGCTTCAAATTTTGTAAAAGAGTGGAGTATTGTTGCTCTTGACGTCATGTCGCTCCCACAACCAAATGTGGCCCGAAACTGTTGCGATTGGCGATCGGTTTGCACTCCGATACGATACCGCGCGCATACCATTTGATTCATTTGGATAGCTAGTTGCAGTTAAATATCATACCCAAGAATATTTTAGTTGACATTGAATGAAAACCTAATTACTGGTGACGATTATGTTCTAGTTATTAATTTTCCTGTTTTCACTCAGCTATTTAATACTTCTTCCATCATTATATTCACTTAAAGTTATTTTTCTACAGGTATTCGAAGACGATTGCAGCGTTATCTCAGACAATCCACCAATCGTTTCACCAGAACCGAGCGAGAACGAACAGAGACGGCCGGACAAGCCTGTACTATCTCGAGCACCCAGCATAGACGAAGTAGACAACATTGAAATGGACTCTGAAAGAGATAAAGAAACAAAACAGAACGGAGAGACTGAGAATGGTGATAATAGGGATGTAGATGTAGACAGTCTAAAAGACTTAGATGAAGATGTCCATTTGAAGAGTGTTGTCGACAACCCTGATATGAGGAGGGAAAGTATAGCTGAGATCAAGAGGCTAGCTGAAGAAATCGTTCAGAAAGGAGATGGTCGAGGGCTTCTATGCAGTGTTGACAGTGCTCACGTGAATGGAACTGGAAGCGATTTCAGATCATCTATAGATGAAAGTCAGCCAAGTCCTCATCAGCAGCATACAAGTGTTATTATTACTAATCCTTCTGTTGATCTCGCTGCTGGAGGGTCTCCTGCTTCTGGAGGAACCACTGGTATGTTAGTTTTATGCCTATAGGTCGTATAACTCATTTGAAATACCAAATAACGGCTATAATATTGAATTAGACACTACTGACATACGGTAAAGGAAAACATCGTGAGGAAACCTGGACTAATAGTTTTTTGGGCAACGTGGTGATAAATGCTCAATTTTTTTCCGTGTTAGAAGAGGACTCTGCTCAAAAGTGGGCTCTTATAGGCTGATGATGATGACTCCAAAATTTCACTGATAAAATCGAGGGTTTTTTTGAAATGAGATTTTGAATTTTAATGTTGAATTTGTATTTTTTATTTAATTTAGCACAAGTGAGTCCAGCTCGCAGTCCTCTTGGAGTAGTGCGCGAGGAATCACAATCAGCTGGTGCTAGCTTCGATACTCTGGAGCCGGCAGATAGGAACGCACAAGACAATCGTTCAAATTGTGTCTCACCGGCCAGCTCTAATGGAGGAGTTTATTCCGTGAGTGTTTTTTCTGCAAACTCGGTTGATATATTTTTTTAAATGGTCGGACGGTAAACGAGCATACGATTTACCATATTACGGTAAGCAGTCGGCACGACCCATGGACACCTTCAAGGAGTTATGAGTGTGTTGCCGACCTTTTTGGTATTATTTTTGGGTTTCGAAGATTGGCCAGGGATTTGGAGACTGGAAAAAGGATTTTCCTTCCGGTAACCTGTCTAACACGGTGAAATAAAACGCTTAATAACCCAGAAATTTAACTTCAGTCATTCTCTATTATCTGAATTTTTCTGCAGTTAAAACAAACGTCTATTAAAATTTTCCAGAATGAATTGGTGGAGTCTTTCGCTCTTAACCTGCATCGCATTGAGAAAGACGTTCAGAGATGTGACAGGAATTATCCCTTCTTTACTGATGAGAATCTGGATAAACTACGAAACATAATGTGCACGTAAGTAGTATTTTTTTTCCACATTGATTAGAATTATTATTTAGATTATTTCCTCGGTTATTTTATTTGCGATTTTTTCTATTCGTCAACTTAAATAAAAGATGATGAAGCTAATTAAAATGAATTTTGAATTTGATGTGAGCCAGTTTAGGTTTTTTGTTTTCAGACCAATAATGCAATGAGTATTTTCTAATTTTGAAACTTATGACATACTTAGTGTTTCTTTTATAAAATATACTAGCAACCCGCCCCGGCTTCGCAGAGGTGCAATGCTAATCAGTAATAAAATTTTGCCACTATTGAAAGGATATCGTTAAAAATATATAAACCTTACTCTTCAATCGCCCTATCTACTAAAAATAGCATCAAAATCAGTCGCGTAGTTTTAAAGATTTAAGCATACAGGAAGAAAAAGCGACTTTGTTTTATATTATGTAGTGATTAGCAAGTTGTAATGGAAGAAAATTCGATACCCATTCCATTCCATTTCTTTAATGACTTTGTAAGAAAAACGTCATTTCCATCAGCTACGTATGGGAGCACCTGGAGACGGGCTACATGCAGGGCATGTGCGACCTGGCGGCGCCGCTGCTGGTGATGATGCGCGAGGAGGCGCACGCGCACGCACTCTTCAACAGCCTCATGCGCCGCGCCACCGACAACTTCCCCTCCGGGCAGGCCATGGACGCACACTTTGCTGATATGAGGTCAGATTTAACTTTTTTCTTCTAATCTATACTAATATTACAAAGTTGAAAATTTATTTGTTTGTTTGTTTGAATGCGCTAATATTCGGAAGTACTGGTTCGAATAGAATAATTATTTTTGTGTTTGTTAGTTCATTTATCGAGGAAGGATATAGGCTATAAGACATCACGCTATGATCTTCAGGAGCTGAGCAGTAGGTGAAACCGCGTAGGGTTTTGTCTTACGACCTAAATATATAACTAAACGACAATGGAATTATTTTGGCTTTGACTTTAACGAACAGTAAAAGTATTTGTAATGGCAATGATTACAACCTTTTTGGTTAGCTAACCTGACTAATTACTACACAAAGGTATTTAATTTCTTTAAATAAAAATACACATCAATAACAACAATAGTAGCAAAAACTAAAAGAATAAAATTATTAACAGAGACTTTTTGCAACGCAACTTGGCTCATCTTGGTCTTGATCGACTTAGATGACGTCATCATTCTGGATAATTTTAGACCCGAATACTTTATTCAACCATATTTGTTCCAGGTCTCTGATCCAGATCCTGGACTGCGAGCTGTACGAGCTGATGCACGCGCACGGCGACTACACTCACTTCTACTTCTGCTACCGCTGGTTCCTGCTTGACTTCAAGAGGGAACTGCTTTATCAGGACGTGAGTACTATTTGATATGCTATTCATAGCACTAAGCTTCACTGACGATAAGACTTATAAAATATTATTCTATTTGGCATTTTAATAGTACATATTTATGGTTTAGTTGGAATTAAATGATTTGACTTTGATTTTGACTATGAAATGCGACACATTTTTTGCTTTTAAAAGTAATAGGAAGCGGTTTACTTAATGACGTTATATAGCACCTTGCACTTTTCGTAAAATAACTGTTCAGTTTTGGGCTTTTCTTTCTATAAACTTTAAATTCAATTTTCTTTAATATTCATCTGAAATCCAGGTTTTTGCGGCATGGGAGTTAATCTGGGCGGCGCGCCACGTGGCTTCCGAGCATATGGTGCTGTTTATAGCGCTCGCATTGTTGGAGACCTACCGTGACGTCATCCTCGCCAACACCATGGACTTCACTGACATCATCAAGTTTTTCAATGGTGAGTCTTCTATCATCCTTCGTTTCTTTCTTTTGTAGTGAAAACTGTTTTTTTTTTTCATTTTTATTTTATTGAATCTAAAATATATCATTATGAAAATCATCGCACAGTCTGTTGGTAAGCGCATACTTAACTCAATAACGCCTAGACCAATTTTGGCAATTCTTAATTGGGTAGTTTCCTTGGTCAAAAATAAATTAATTCGACGTTTCAATACAATAAAATATTAAAATATAATTTTTATTTTATTCATCGATCGATAGATACACTAAGTTTTAGATATTTTAAGGAAATAAGTAAGCTATATGACGTCGTAACTCAGTTTTTCACACAAATTTCATAGAAAAGTACCGTTTTTGACATTTGGATAAAAGTATTGAATGTGACTAGTTGGAAACTACCGTATATTTTGGGTTCGGTATTATTAGGAGAAGGTTGTTATGAAAGTTTTTTTTATAAAAGTTAAGGGGTAATTGCTTCCCATTTTCTTTTCATGCGACGGAATGTTCATGTGTGTACACACACACAAACCCAGTATTCAAATACTCAAGCAGGGGCGAGCCGCTAAGACATTAAAAAATTGTTTAAGGGACTTATTGTGATTTTAAAATTAGAAAGTTTTTTTAATTAGATTGACGTGATTGAGTCTTTTTGCTATGCCTATGTCTCAAGACAATTAGGTAATGTACGAAAGCTTTATTTTCATTTAAATTATATTTTAATCACACTTTATTTAGGTATGTGTAGGTATGTGTTGAATGTTAAAAATAAACGTAATTAATAAAAGATAAATAAATTATTTTTCAATAACAAAAAGGTTTTATATTGGAGAAACCTGTCTTGATATGAAAAAAAAAAACAGACGGATGATGATAATTATAAAAAAATAACAAAACACATTTTTGTTTCAGAAATGGCAGAACGACACGATGCGTCTGCAGTATTATCCTTAGCGAGGGATCTTGTTCTACAAGTTCAGACTCTAATAGAGAACAAATAAGTATCAGTTTAAAGCGTTACACTTATGTAAACTTTGCAAGGCTGGATATGAATGTAAAAAGGTTTTCTAAGATCATTCCAATAATTTTATTGATTAACATTGATAGGTAAAAGTGTTACAGTAAATTGGAATAATATTCAGGAAAAATGAGATATTTTAATAGACTTGATTAAAACTCTTGATTAAAAGTCATGATGCAAAATTCTTACATATATTACAAGTTTTAAGTAGGTACTATATCATATTAGCTTCAGTCTATGTGTTAATCCAGGGTGGGTACCACCCATCTGCATAAATACCTACATACCAAATTTGAACTTCAAAGAATAATAAACATTCATCTATACATTCTTAAAACTTTCACATTTATAATATAAGCAGGATGATACAAATATTATAATGGCGAAAATTTTGTATCTAAATTGTTCCAAATGACAAAACTCCCATCGATTTAATACATCTATGAGATAGGCCAGACAGAACTGAGAACTCTTCCTTTTCAGTCTTGCAAAGTCTTACAAACGGACAGTCATTACTTCTCAAGGCATCTATCAGGAACGTAGGAATAAGTAGTGTAATAGAGAAAAAAAATATAAAAAATAATATTTTTAAATTTATAAAGTAGACAAAATATTGGTTATACATTAAAATAAATTATCCGTTTCGTCTGAATTACTTAGAACCCACAGAATTCAAATTGAAAAACTAAACAAATTACTTATCTATGAGATTCCAAATTTAAATTATTAGCTTGTTGTAAAGTTGTCTCAAAAACAAGAAAACAAATTTAAATATAGAAGGAACATAATCGACGAAGCTGTTTAAAAAATGAATTTAAATTAATTTTATCAATGTTACAAAAAAAAGGTTTTAGTAATTACCCCTATCTATAGTACATGTGAAAAAAGAGGCCAAAAATAATAGAACACATTTAAAATGTGCTTTTAAATTTATACTAATGACGTAACCAAAATAGAGGATTGAACAAAAGCCACAAACTTGATTCTTTGCATTTTAATGAGTTCAATTATTAATGAAACTTTTTGGGTAACATACATTCTTCTAGACATAGGAGTATAATATTACACTGGCATAACACGTGGTCACTAAGTTTAGTGCAAAAGGACTTTTAAGTAAAAAAATATCACCTAAACTTTTTGCTGTAAGCATAATATAAAAACAGACGTCAATATCAGACAGTTTGGTCAGTAGAGAAAATGATCAAAATCATTATAAGGCGACTACAGAACTACCTAAAACAAATTAATAAATTATTAGCTCATATCGTATCAGAGAGCGTGAACGAAATGATGTTGTCGAGTGTACCTCTTAAAAACTAGAAACACTTAATTACAAAATGACCTATTTACAAATATTTTTCAAATATAAATATTTACATTATTTATTGTGAAGTTGTATTGCAACTTACCTCTCATATACATATTAAAGTATAATTATATACATATACAAATATATAATATAACTCCAGAATATTCCAATATTTAATATTCTACTTATTTCAGTACAGTCAGTGACAAAATAACATGATAACGATCAGAGACTAAAAAGCAAATCTTTTGCACTCTCAATCAATGGTATTATAAATAAAAAGGTGTAGATAGTTAACAAGTGCTCAGCAAGTGATACATTAAAATGTGGCTTACTAGCCACCCTATTTCATATTTGTCTCTTTTTCACTCGCGGTTATTGAATCATGCCATCCCACTCTAACGTGTATCATACGATTTATTCATGTATGCATAAGTGTGCCGTTTTTGAAAATCGAATGTTGTTTATGTAACCTATCTATACCATTTTACTTATAATATCATTGCTCTCAATGATGTTTATTCAAAAGTAGGTACCTAACTATACATTTAGCTACCTGATATCCAAAAGCACATTAAAACCTACAAAACGTGCTATTTTTGTTTGCCAATTGTTACTGATTGTACTTATTCGTGTAAGTGTATATTTATTATTATTACTTTGTTAATAAGAATTATATGTAGGTACATTAAACATTATTCCCTTTCCTATACAACACTTCCCCTTGTGCCTTCTTCATACCAAACGGAAATTAATCAGTTATTTTTAAAATGCCTAATCTATTTATCCTCATAACTTTGTATTATCACTTATCTCTACCCACCTGTACCTATAAAATGTAATAACGAATTTCTACTGGCAGTGCCCAAACCTCGGATTGAAAGAGCCAACTTGGTGTAAGAAAATAAAGATTGACTGAGAACAAAGACAGTAACCGATTTGTAATTGACTACAATTTAATATAACGAAATCTACTGTCTTTGTTTTTAATTAGTCTTTATTTTCTTACCTGCATACCAAATAAGTTGGCTGACTGTACTAAGAGACAATTAATACGAGTTATAAAAAGTATTATAAAATTTAAAAAGGATGCCAAATCCTTTCCTTATAGGTACTAAGCGTACATATACGCCAAAGAAAGTATTTAAAAAAAACCGTTTTAAACACTACTACGAAAATAAATAACACAAATTGCCATGACCCATGAGTGCGCTAAACCGTAAACTACAAGTTAAGACATAGGTTACCTACAAATTAAATTTAATAATCTGACTTAGAAATAAAGAACAGCTAGTACGTATTAAAAAAGTTTCAAAGAAATTTACGGATACGCTGTCCTGAAACCGGTTGAACGTCGGTATACCTATAAGACAGAACAGAAAGTACATTGTCTCTCTCTTCTGGATCAGTGAAATATATTCCAAATTCAAATTTATTTGCAACATATTGACAATACAAAAATTTTGAAGCAAGGACTTGACTTGACTACTAGCTTTCACCCGCGGCTTCAACCGCGTGGTATGTTGATAAAAAGCGGCCTATGTATCCACTTAATTGAATAGCAAATTTGAACTAAATTGGTCCAGCCGTTTTTGCGATAAAGAATAACAAACATACATGCATACATTCTCAGAAACTTACATAGGTAATTATTTATAATATTTGTGGTCAAAGTCTACATGATAATGTGACTCATATCTTTAAACTAAAGTCCAAAGTTACAAAAGCGGGGAGTCACTCTTATCTGCCTACGTCATGTCTGGTCAGTATCAAATTAATTATCTATGTGAGATTTATGTAAATCCATAGATACGTATTACAGATTATAGATACTATCGTCCATTTTCATTCATGTTTAATGAGCGCGTTTTGCGATAAACGAAATGTATTAAGTATTGTTATCTCAGAATTATGATTAAATTTATTAAAGCACAAAGAAAACAATCTTATTATCTTTAATAATAAACGATATATATCGATATTTGTCACCTAAACTTGACCATTTACTTATATCTTGATAAAGATTTTAAAAAAGTAATTAGTTGGTTATGATATCTATATTTTAACTAAATAAATAATATTATTAAATTCTATTTATGAAAAAAAACTTTTCTTATTCTTTAATTTTAAATAAAATATACTTACCTAACATTGGACACAGCGTCACAAAAAAAGTAAAAATGAATTTAAAAACTAGATTGAATTACCACAGAATAAAAAAGAGTAACTTAAAATGACAGTTATGGTCAAAGACTAACCTAAATAGGTTTATATTTAGAACATTTTATTATTAAGCAAGTTATGTGTCTATGCTTTTAATGAGTATTTCGTCCGTTTTATTCAAGTACAAGCTCATTAACCCTTATTATGTTACATTACACAAAATAAAGTTAGATTTAATCTTAAAGTTATAGTTAGCGCTTCCAAAGTTGATTTATTGTTATGTAATATTAAAAATGGATTGCTCTAAAAATAAAAATTGGAATAAAAAAAAATTAGAACGTTTTTTATGACCATAGAGTGATCCATCGAGTAATTTGTTAAGAGTTCTAAGAATATTTTTAAATTTATTAATCCTAATGTAAGCGAAAACAAAACGTATTTATTTGAAAGTTCTATTCGGTGTAGCTATATTCTGATATTGTCTTTATAAATAAATTTCTATGTATACATACTGTAATTTTACCGTTAAGGCTTCTTAGATGTTTTGTGCTGTTATTTAATATTCAATGTCTATCAAATCAACTTAATGTGATTATTGTACGCTTAAAAATCCCCTCACTGTTTCCGCCAAGGTAAAAATAAAAGTGAAGCTAATTAATATACATACTTTAATTTTTGAAAAGAGAATGATACCATAGACGTCATAAGTGTATCTTATTTATTTTTATGTTGTAGGAAATTATGCATTCAGTCTATTGGTATAAATTATTTAATGCGTTTTTTTTTCTTTTTACCTTGGCGTGAATGTAGTACACAGAAACCTAGGTACTATACGTCAGGCCTAAGTCCAATTAAGCCAAGCTTTACTTTCAGATATGTGTTATGAACACGTTTAGTGTCAAAATATAGTAAATTACTAAATTATGTCTACACTTTTAAACTGGAAAAGTTTTAGGAGCATTTTTGAAAAACATGTCAAAACGGTTTCGGTTTCAGTTGTACCTAGATAAAATGACGACAAATAATAGAGTTTTCAATAAAATGTGTAACACAGTAATTTTAGTTATTTTTTTTTATATACTTAACAAAAATGCTTCTAAAATTTTTAAATAGTCTTAATAAATGTTTGTACGGATCTATGTAATAACCATTTTAATAACTATTTTGTAACTGAAATGAATTTTCATTTTATCAACTATGAATGTGTACAGACGATGGTGGTAGCCTTTAGCGAAAATTTTAAACTATAAATGTAATAATTTTCATACCCATTGTAAAACTAAACTTAAAAACGATTACAAAAATGTACACCTAATTCCTAACCCTTTTTCTAAATGTTATCTGTTGAGAAAAGAAAAATAATAAAATTGATCTAATTATTGTCTATGATAGAATTACCGACTTTTGAAAAACGAACTTCAGCCATGTTGTTTAAAGAAAAAAACATATAAAATGTTAGCTGTCAGTGTAAAATAACCATTCCCAGTTAAAAAATCTAAATGTGTAAT